AGGGAACTCGGAATAATTCGGCGCGGCCAGTAAATATACGGTCTATCATTGTGACGCGCATTCCTGCTGGAGAGCTTCCCAGGGACTCATTGTGTTTGAGTCAGAATCTGCATAAGTGCATTAGGCAATATTAGCTAGTGCGGCCTCTGTATTCTAGAACTAACTGTTGCGAAACGAAACGGTAGTGACCTTTAATAAACTGTAAACTCCGTGTGCGTTTTGTGTGTTAACCTTATAACCCGCGATAGTTAGTGGCTTCTGTAAGTTAGTAAATCGTACGATAGAGTTAATTGACTGTCAACGTGACGAAAGAAGAAAGTGACTGTGGGCAACCTCGGAAGGCCCCCTCAAGTTGGAGCGATGTCGACGCTCGGGCTGCTGCCGACGGCCAAGGTCTAGGTTCAATCACCACCAGTCCCACCCAGATACACCTCACATCACTTATTTCCCTTTCACTACACAACCACATGTGACCTGACCGACTCCGGAGGGACCAGTCGCCTTGGATATAGGTAAGTAAGCTCCGCCTAATTCCTCTGCCGGTCGACTGGCTGTAGTATAGAACGCTCCCCCATATATTTTAGTGTAATTCGAGAGATTCCACGTGGCCTTAGCAGGCCCGACCTACGTCTGCTCGGGAAGTCTTCAGCTCATGGGCCCCTGAGGATTTGATCCTTTAAGGGAGCAGCCGTAGGCCGTAACAACTACCATATTCTTTTTTTTAAAGCTCAGTCACTTTTTTCGTGTTTAAAAAAATATACTTAGATACAAATTAGATGCGCTGATAAAGGGCTCCCAATAATAGTTTTTCTCACATAAGAAGGAACTTGATAAAAAAGGGAGAAAAATAATCAGACTGGAGACATCTTGACTTGAACCGGGGTCCCGATTACCCACCTGAGCTATCCTTGTAGATAGTGGCGAAATTTATCTTCGTATTCTAATGATAATGTGACTCTGGAGTATGAGTAGTCAGTCATTCAGGTATAATTGATACAATTTACACCAAAGTTTCTGCCTTACGAGCCAAGTACGATAAGATCTCCAAATAATTTGTGTTTGATAAGAAATATAAGATACAATTAAATGAAACACCGAGGGATTAAACCTAAAAAGCTTAGAATTTTCACAGATGATTCTAAAACAAATGAAGAATCAGGATCTAGAAGTTTCTCGGAAGACCTCAATATCCACATATTTGTACACCGCTAGGTACCCACAACACAGTCTTTCAGGCAAAATGTACTGATATCATCCAAGCGCCCATAGTAATAGATGCCAGGAAGATAAAAGATTTCTCCATCAGAATACTGTCCGACAGTATGGCGGTACTACAAGCTCTGAGTTGCAAAGTGGTGAACTCAGGACTAAGATATAAATGCCATCAACGACTAAATGAGGTATGTAAACACAATAATCTGACTTGGCAATGGATCAAGGGACAGTGGATCCAGGGGCAACAACTAACCAGGAGAGGATCGGTTCTGGCCGTTATTTGGCCGGATCCGATGATACCAATCCCTTTTGGTAACATTCATTCACTGGAACATAAAAACTTTACTAATCAACATGTTCAGCTTTGGAAAAATCTAGTGGACTAAAGGGAAGCTAGGGCGGTCCTGCTAGAAATAAACAGTTGTTTAACCAAGGTCTTAATGAGATTGAACAAGTCACAGATCAGAATAGCAACAAGTGCTATTACAGGACATGTCTCTTTTAATAGTCCCCTGTGCAGGGCATATATGGGGGAGGAGGAAATGATTGCCCACATGTTGCTGGCATGTCCGGAGGTTGCTGCATACAGGATTAAACATCTCTGCACACCGGGATCACTCCCAGAAGTTGCTCACAACATCAAAAGACTGTTGAACTTCTTTGGGGATATTTCATAGTTTGAATAATCATAATATTTCTGCCCATACACAAAATATGCACTTAGGCGTGGAATAGCCCATCGTAAACTAAACTAAATGTAGATAGTTCATCCAACCTGGGTATTATAGATAGAGTAAGCACCAAACATAAGTGCAGTAACTAGTAATAAAGTGAAGGACAAATTTAACATTACGGTGCTCAAAAATATTTCTTTATGAGATTAACTACAAATTAATTATATTTGGTATTATTACTTTACTTGTGTATTGAACCTTGCTTCTTGTCAAATTTAATGATTCTAGGTAAACAAGAAATATCCTATACATTTGATTAGTGATAGGTTGCAAGTTTATATGAATTACCATATAATATATTTTATATTACTTACCATATATCACATATATTTTATATAAATTATCCTTTTTCAACAATAAAAAATCAATGCATAAAATAGTTTTATCAAGTCCTATATGCCCCATTTAAAAAGTATGTATTATCTATGAACTTTCCATGCACTACGAGGGGCACACTGAAATGATTGGGAATAAGAAAAACCACATGCACAGTATAGCTAAATTGTATTTAATTGTTTTTCGAAGTATTCTCCGTTCAAATTAATGCACTTTTCCATTCGTGCAAACCAATCATTAAAACAGTAATTGCAGTCTGAAGTTGATGTTGACAAAATGGCTGATTTGTACAATTCCACAGCTGCTTCGGGGTCTTCAAACCGTTGACCGCATAGTAAATCTTTCATTCTAGGGAATGTAAAGAAATTGTTTGGGCTCAGGTCAGGACTGTACAGAGGATGGCTCATCAGCTCAACGTTTTCCTGTTTCAAAAAATCATTTGTCTTCCGAGCCGTATGGGAGCTCGCATTATCGTGATGTAAGATGATGCGACGTTTCGGGTAATTTTTTCGGAATGCGGCTATCATTTCTGGGAAACAAACCATGATATACCACTCAGCAGTAACCGTTCTGCATTCCTGTAAAGGAATTGTAGCAACATGTCCCTTTTTCGAGACAAACGTAGCGACCATTTTCTTTGACACGCTGCGGAAGCGAACCACTTTCGTTGGTTTGATCTCATCTTTGAAGACCCGAACTGCTGACTGATGTTTTCTTTCAGGTTCATATGAATAAATCCATGATTTGTCACCTGAGACGATATTATAAACGGCATTTGACTTCCCTCCGTTGAAGCATTGTAGAGTATAGAGATTGGTGGCGGCAATCTACATGAGCCGCCTTTTGCTCTTCAGACAAATTTTGGGGAACCCAGCGGGAAACTAGATTTCTTACACACAGCTCATTATGCAATTTTTCATAGTTTTGCATAGTTTTCAGGCGTGACTGCTGTTCTTGGTCAACCTGCAGAAGAAACGGTGCTGAGCGACACATGACCGCGTCGGAACTCGGCATACCAGCAGTATATTGTCGTTTGACTCGGTGCTTCAACATCATAAATCGAAACAAGTTCGCTGATGTATCTTGAGATAAGCCGCGACGAAAATTGTGATAAATTATGGCACGGAAATCTTCACACGTGAGCTCCATTTCTGTTAATGACGTGTCAACTTTAAACCAACATAGTTTTTGATATTTTTTTTATAATTGTTTGATTGTCATTAAGATTCTAAGAGGCCAGTATCCAAATTCTAAAAAAGGTTTTATTGTAACTCAATCCGAAATATTCTATTCCCGATCATTTCAGTGTGCTCCTCGTATTTTACAAATGGTTCAAAATGCTGTCTTGTTCTAGATAAGTACTTTTGAAATCCTGAGTTGGAAATATTGCTGAGGCATGCAATTTTTTATCTAATCGAAATCACCTTTCACTCTTTTTGTTTGCAATTTGCATTCGACTATAGCAACAAAGTATCACCTCAATTACCTCACTGCAGTAGCTCTACGGTCCGCACCATTAACAAGGAGGTTCTTAAAACCTTGCGAAGTCTAGACATGAACAAAATTAGTGGACCTGCTGGCATACCGATTCTTGTCTCCTGTTTTGACGCGTTTGTTCTGTCTCTCTTTCAGAACTCAAATAGTGCCCAAATCTTGGAAGCAAATGTGCAGCAAAAAGGGCAGCCGTGCTGGCCACTTATCAGCCAATTTCAATTAACTCCATACTCTGCAAGATTATGGAGCATATATTAAACACCCACCTCATGGCATACCTAGAGGAGAATGATCACCTCAGTGACTGCCAGTACGGGTTTCACCGAAATCAATCAACTGGGGATCTAGCGTTGGGCCACTCACATATGGGGGCAAAGCCCTAGAGAACATTGGGGAAGAACTTGCTGTTTCCCTTGATGTCTCAAAGGCAATTGACAGGGTTTGGCACACTAGCCCTTAGGGCAAGCTTCCAGCAAACAGCTTATAATGGTCTGATTGACTGGGTTAAGGACTTACTGAGTGAATAATCTGTTTGTGTTATTGTCAATAGCTTCTAGTCCAACCCTATTGTGACAAACGCCGGAGTTCCTCAAGGGTCAGTTCTCTCCGCAACTCTCTTCCTGCTGTACATAATGATCAGCTTATTCCCAGTGTCTATGGGTATGAAGACAATAGCACAGATGTTGGAGTTGGTGGAGAGATATGCTTAAGAGTCTCATTGGTAACCTTGATCTGCTTTAAAGCACAGGCGCAGAGTAACCAGCCTCAGTATTCTATAGAATGCATTTTGATGAGTGTGTGCAGGGTCTTAACCCGCTTGTTGTCGATACAACCAAATGGTTGTTCACCAACTGTCATTAGAACCAAATGGTTTGCTTCATCGTTTGTAATGCCTACAGCAAAGGTGAAATAATTTGCCGGCATCTGTTTTTACGTCCAGATATGTACAATCTAGGTGTGTCCAAGGCAAGAGTGAATAGGTTTTTGTTGCACTAAGATAGTGAGATTTACCATTTCGGGCTTTATCACCACTTACCACCAGGTGGGGTTGTGGTCAAGCAATGGCTTATGATAAGTGAAAAAAAAAACCTTGTTGGATTAGTATAGCTTGCTACATATATATTTATCTATGGATTAGTAGCACCTTGTAGAAGGAATATTAAGACTAGTACATGGTTTGTGAAATATCATTAACGAAATGAACTTTGGAAAAATGCTTACCGATCTGGGGGTAACCTCAGTCCGCAATGTGGCTTTATCAAAGGCAGAGGGTTTACATTTTTTACTCTTGCGATCTCTAGTAACACTTCCCGCGGTGGAGGATTCGTAAACGATTTGTCCAATTGCATCTGTACAGCCAACCTAACGTCATCAAGGTCTACAGTCTTTTTCTTGGCGTGATTTGCAAACACTCGAGCGTCGTCCAAAATACAAGTCACATATCGATATATGAACTCTAGAAGTTGATTAACGACCCGTGGTTCATAATCTGTTATTCCGACTTCCTTCATGATGGACATAATAACTTGTGCATCTTTTGGTATATGTTTTATTTGCGTGTTAACTTTTGATTTGTCTTTTTCGGACATTATTATTTATTTTTAGAAAGGTTTAGCGTAATATCTCTTTGAACATAAAAAATTGTTGTATGGTTGTTTGTTGTTTGCTTGTTAACTTGTTTGTTGTTACGTTTTGCCAATTAATACTGGCAAAAGTCTTACACCACACAGCCTAGTCTGATGTTTATTTTATTCACTAAATTCTTTACAATATTATGCTTGACCATAATATTATGCTGATGCGTCACATTGCAGATTTTGTGAGATATAAAACCAAAACACATAAAAAACATTGGCAGATATCAAAGCAGACCAAGCAGATAAAAAATGATTTATTAAACACCTACGCAGACAAAATAAATTTCAAACTACGTAAAGCAATAAGGCACGAGCGCGCAACACCACAGTTGTCAACAAAACTTGTTTCCATTTTCGGCGGCAACATCAAAGAATACGCTTGTTACCAACATTTGTTCCCTCGGTGGAGACGCTTGTTGGAAACAGTTGTAAACAGTTGAAAACATAACTGTTGTCAACATTTTTGGTGGATACGCGGCTTTACACAAGTAAGTTTCCGTTAAAACTCCTCAATCTCAAACTCTGTCAATGATTAATTGACATTGCTATTCCTAACCGATGATTCTGCCAGTTTCAACGTTCTTCATCTTTTTATGGCGGTTTGATAAAATTCACTAGTGTCAAGGTTTATTTCTATTCCTATTTTTTCTTATATAGTAATAACAAACATAATATGTAGTTTATATGCATAGTAGGTATCTACAATTCTTCCTTAAGGCCGGCCACATATATTTAGAGTTCCGTTTCAGAATTCCGATTCGAGATTCCGAAAATACATCACACAAATACGTTTATTTCACTTCGGAATAACAAGGCTCAGTTGAGAGACGCTGGCCATTGAGTCTAGACATTCTACCAGCGAATAATGACGCCGATTTTCTGATTGCGATTCCATTGTTGCTGTATCATTGTTACTGGGTGCATCCTCTTGACATCCTAAGATTGCAATATAGTTAATATTATGTAAAAACATGTATCTATCCAGATACTTTTTTTTAAATATCTATACACTTTTTCGACGAATTATTAACCAAATTAGACGAAAAAAAATGAAAGAAAAAAAAAGAATAAGACGAAAAGAGATACACATATAAGATTACATGTAAAAACATACAAATCTACTCGCTTCGGTTGTGCGATGCAAACTGGGTGGTAGGTGCGTTAGTACGGAATTTACGAATATGTGATGCGACTTATACAAAATCTATGGAAGACTTGCGTGCGGAATTCCGAACGCACAAGCAGTCATGCGAAATTTCGAATCGAAGAAAATTACTGTACGTGTGCGATTTGTCCTTGATTTTATATGGATTTTCTGCATTGGGAATCCCAAAACAGAATTCAGAAACGGAATCTCGAAACGGAATTCGGAATGTATATGACTGGCCTAAGAGAGTAAATACAGTTGTGTCGGTTTTTCTAATTTTATTTTCAAGTAGGTACCAGTCACCTTCCCCCCGAACGGGTTCCCGCCTTAATAGCCGTGGTTTGGTCACCCGCGGTGATCAAAGAGGAACCCCTTGACTGGCCCGTGGTGTAAGGCCGGCCCGAGGTGGCCACTCCGAGTGGGCTTAGCGAGCCCACTTCGGATGTGTGTCGGTGGGCTGCGGTGAGAGGGTTGTTCTCTCCCCATACCAATGCAGCCGAGGTGGAGTCGCGGAGGAAGAAGAGTGTTGGTATGGCGATGCGCCACTCGCCTTATCCTCCGCGACTCAGCCGGGGCCGCAGCGTTGATGCGGTGGTGGTGGGGCCGCGGGGGGAGAGGAGTGTTGGTATTACGAGGCGCCGCTCTCCCTACCCTCCGCGGCCAAACTTGGTTGGCGGCGGAGCCAGAGACCAGATCTGCCGCTGGGGTCGGGAAAGCGGATGCTACTAAGCGCTCGATTTTCCTGACCCCATAGCCTCCACGTATCGAACTCGGGAGGGGGGAGGGTCTGATACGCAGGTGGAGTTGGAGTCCGTGGAGGGGGGCGTGCCTTGTTATTCCTGGTGGGCCTTGCCTGAGAGGGAGAGTGGGGAGGAGAGGTCCTCCCCCGAGAAGGGGCTGCCATGGGGCGGCCGGCGCTGGTGGAGCCGCGCATGTGTGCGAAAGCGTTCCCGTGGCCCTGCCAATATGCGGCGAAGGTGGAACACCATGGGGTTTTAGTCGGTGCGAGTCCGATATAACCCTTTCCCCATGTAAAAAAAAAGTAAAAGGTACCAGTCACCTTTGGTTTCTTTACACTATGCCAAATATCATCAACTTCGATTATCGACACAGGCGCTGTGTTCGTGTCATAAAATGAGTTTCGTAGTCACTTGGAAGATAAGGTCAAATTGGCCTCTAAAAAGCTTGGCGTGCGCAGCAAAACAGGACAATAATTCATGCCGGCACACCGCTTGCAACTTTACAAGGCGCAGGTTCAGCCCCACATGGAATACTGTTCCCATCTCTGGGCAGGGGCTCCTCAGTGCCAGCTCCTTCCACTTGACCGCATCCAGCGTAGAGCAGTTCGAAACGTCGACGATCGAGTTCTTTCCGATCGATTTGATTCACTGGCACTGCGAAAAGATATTGCATCTCTTTTCGTATTTTCTCGCATCTACCACGGGGAGAGGTTTTAGGAATTGTTCGGACTAATTCCAGCTACTCAAATTCACCATCGCACATTGCGACAAAACTCGCGATACCATCCATACCATCTGGATGATTGGAGGTCCACCACTGTGCGATTTAGAAGAAGTTGTCTTCCTCGCACAACTTCCTTGTGGAATCGACTACCACCAGAGATTTTTCCGAACCGATACAACTTAGGGCCCTTCAAGAAAAGAGCTTACTCTTTTTTAAAAAGGCCGGCAACGCATCTGCAATTCCCCTGGTATTGCAGTTGTTTATGGGCGGCGGTAGTCACTTACCATCCGGTGCTGGTATAAAAAAATCTCCAAAGGCGAACTGTCGGTGATTTGCACTTCCACATGGCAGATTAATCGTTTGTATGCTACCGCGCTGTATTGATTGTTGTTAAATCCTCCTCTAGAACGTACTGCACTAAAAAAAATTCTATATGATCTTGAGAGAGTTTACAGGTCGAAAGAAACTTTAATTTTCCTGACTATATGATATGTAGCGATTTCATAGCTATTGCCATTCGACAAAAAACCAATAAAACCAAGTTTTCTACGACTCTATCAAAGCTAGGTTGTTATTTATTGAATTTTTAATATATTCATCCACTTTGTCACATTCAGCTACAACATTTTCAACGTTCTTTGCCTTTCAGACCTTAAATAAGTAGTCAAATATATATATGTCTATATATATTATATGTAAGCGAAATACTACTGAATGACTGACTCAAAACTAAAACTAAAACTATACACCCGATTCTCTTGAAATAAGTATTTGTATAGTTATGTACTCATTTCGCAATATAGACGTTCATTAAGAACGGATTTTACTATAGTCCTAACTAAAAAAAAAATAATAGGTTCCGCAATAAAATATTATCGTGTGCCCAGCGAAGCGACCCATAGAGCACAAAATATTGCTAGAATGTTGCAGGAATATTATTCTTTTTTTTTTGGAGTTTATGGCCTGGTATCTAGACCTTTAGGCCAAGTCTTAAGTATTTTTATTCGGTTTATTGTAATTTCCCCACTCCTTCATAGTATACTGCTTCACAATATGTTGATGCGTCACATTGTGCAGTTCTTGGGAGATTTTGGCGGCAACTTGATCCAGCAGACAGCTGATAGTTGGCGATGGTATCTAAAGGTGCCTATGCAAACAAACAGCTTATCTTGAGAATCCATCACCATCAGAGCACTTGTTTCACTGTTTCCACTAATAGTTCACATGCGTAGACACTTAATACACAAAATCGCAACACTTTTACATATCAAAGTCCACTTCAAACCATTATTTAAACAATAATACAGGAGCAGCAAACCGCCGCCGGTCAATTTCCCGCCAAAACTCGGAATATTATTCGGTAACGTTGTAATGTTGCACTAAATATTCTTGAAATATTACTGCAACATCCCTATGTCCGCTTTTTTACGTTGGTAGCAAGCTTGTGGTAATATTATAATATATATATAGTAATATTATAATAACATAACATGTCATATTTTAATTATATATATATATAATCTAAACCAACAATTTGAATTAATTTTTCGCTGCAGCGCGTTTCACTCGAGTGCTGGATTGAGCAAGCCAGAGTCCTGCAGCGTATGTGATTTCTTTTTCTAAAGATGATGGACATATCAACAGGACCTTTTCTGTAATTAACAAAGCATGTCGTGGATTCAAACTAACTTAATAAAATTTCAAATTGTCATAAAAAACATACCGTTAATACTGCTCGAAGAGATTTTAGATAATTCTGGTATTGGCAGCAATTTTATCACTTTTCAAACTCCATTTATAAATATTTTTTTACATCTTTTCAATATTCAATAAGGAAGAGTTTGATCTTCATCACTACTATACATTTTCCGTGCATTTTTCCATGTCATATCTTTCAATCACTTTTCTATTTCTTCTTCTGATAACTCCTCAGAATCCAAGACATCGGAAGAGTACATTGCATGGGCAAATTTTTCTTGAGCTGGATCCTATTCATCTAATAGTAATCCATCAGAAAATTTCACTAATCAATATTTTTTATTTTTTATTTTTTTTATTTTACATTGTTATATTTTTATAAATTTCAACTTCAACGAAAGTAACTAGAGAGCTGTAACTGTAATACACGATATTTGTGGCAGTATACGGGTATAGCAACGTGATCTTCATCAAGTTTGGCGCAATTTGGCGTAATTCAAACTGCGCCATTATGGCAATAACGCATTATTAAGATGTCAATTGACAGACTTTTTTTCTAATATCTTATTAATACTTCTACAGTCTTATTCATAAAAAGTTAAAAATAGGTTTATTAGCTTCTTATTAAGAGGTACCCGTAAAA